GTCGACAGTAGGACAGAATGAAAACTTGGTTGGGTGTGGGGGGTGGGATGTGGGTGGGCAGGCAGGGAGGGGGAAATGGAGTTTGTTCTACTTATTGATAAAGCTTTGTGAACTAATTTTATACAATTCATAACATTTGGTGCCTTGTACCCAGTTATGGTTTGCATGGGATTGAAAAGATTAAGTAAGGGAAAGGATGCCTCCGTATCATTTTAAGTGGCAAATGGGTCTGTACAGTGTAAAGGACAGTTGGTATCAGACTTTGTAAAAGCATTTCATTTCATGTGTGTAAAAGATAATTATTACCAGCAAATTCTGAAATTTTACTGTAATGTCCAAAATCTTTGGATTTGTCACTATTCATCAAATGGCTGCTTTCCAAGGCAGACTATGTCCTCTATTCTTTTTCACCACTCCTTTTATGTTCCAAACATTAACTCGGGCCTTTTCGGGTAGGCTGGGAGTGCTACCTCTTCCTAAACATATACTATATACCCTTGCCAGGTTATACCTTATAAGTGGAAGGGTTGCTTTCCAGCTGGTTGGGAGAGCACAAATGTTCAGAAAGGGCCTTTTTTTCTAATGCTGGGCAACTTAGGGTAGAAGTCAAACAAAAATGATTCCTCCTGAGGTATTACTTCCATTAGTTCTGAAGTTCTTTTGCACAAAATTTCAGGAAGCAGTGTAGAACACAACCTCCTATATGTGAACCTTGAGACTGTAAGGCAAGCCAGTGCACTGTGTAATATGCAAAAGAGAAGGCTCAAAGAACCTGTCCCAGCCACCCCCGCCCCAGCCCCTTTCCTGGCAGGTGCTGACTAGAATGGTGCTGAGTGGCTGTGGAAGGGGAGAAGACCCAGTCTGCTCACCTGCAGGGCTGTTTATAGCCTGTTCCTTTTACTCTGACCTTAAGGTTTCCAATGAGCTCATGAGACTTCACCAAAGGGTGTTTAGAAAGCTCACCACTTGAAGCACATTTGATAACTGGTTCCCTCAGCCTAATTACTGGCCTAATTAGGTGAGGAGGTTGTACCTTTGGAGCAAAATCTCCCATGGCAACTTAGTTTTTTTTTTTTTACCGGGTAAGTATGCACCTCCCTGGTGGTGGTTCCTTTTTTTCAAGTCAGCACTAAAGCTAAAAAGCGCCTTCTAAATATGACTGTGAGTTTAGTTTTGTATCTTCCACCTTTAACCATTCTCTTGGTCTAGGGCTTTGACTTGAACCAAGTGTTACTTTATTCTTTCAACCCACACATTGCTCTAAATACACCATAGCCACTAGGGCATTAAGGCAAATGGTCATTTTTGTGGACTCTTTCCTTACTTCTGCTGGCATGTTTCCATTTAAAATCTAGATAGGTAGTAGAAGAGATTTTCATAGTACTGTTAACCAGCCAGGGCTGAATATCACGTCACCGATGTAAAATGGACTTCCCTTGGGGAGGGTGTTGTGTTGGAATGGTAAAAGCCAGCATTTTCATTTACAAAATTAATGACTGTTCATCAAAATTTTGGGAAATTGTAGACTTGACAGCTTTACTTGCTAAATTCTTAACACTTGAGGAATGAAGCCAGTTTAAATGAAACTTTACCATGCCAGTATTATGGCTTTATAAACTGACTAACAGTAAATGAAGCTATAACATTAAATTTTGAGTGAAATGTGAATTATGCTTTTGGAAGCTGCCATGTCGTCATTGCTGGATTTTTCTTTTCAACTTTAAAAAACCTTTTAAAATAGACTTTTCAGTTGTGAGTAGGATCGGGTTGTCGACTTCAAGGATCTGTTTCCTATCAATGAAGGACAGGAGGTGCTGGTATTTGTCTTAGTGGTCTGATACAGATATGAATGGGCTTAGAATCTATGCTATGGCTTAAAAGTTTCCTTCCTGGTCACCATTTGGGAGGTGATGGCTTCAAACCTAAGCCTTGCTCTCATGTATATGACCCTTCCTCATCTTAACACCCAGTAAGTTACAAAACTATCAAATCATCTGTGGTCCCAGTATAGATAGATTCTTAGAGAGTGAGGGCTTCGTGGTAAGCTAGCCACAGGCCTGAATTCACAGCTCAAACTCTTCCCTAACAGGTGGGACCTACCCAATCAATACAAGAGAATGGTGCTTTTTAAAATACATATACAATCTAATTCTCAATCAGATTTCTTAATGAGATTTATGCCGGTAGGGTCAAGAAGGACTGTTTTGTCCTATTGGCCTTTTGTGAACAGATTGCTCGACATCTGTCAACTCTAACAATTAGGCCACTGTGGTGCATTCATTCTGACCTCCCTTTCCAATTCATGTCCTTTAATCCCATACTAGTTCCACAGGAGACTTGGCATGGAAAAGCAGGATTTTTAAAAATGCCTAGTAGATGGGGTGCCTGGCTGGCTCAGTTGGAAGATCATGTGACTTCTGATCTCGGGATTGTGAATTTGAGCCCCATGTTGGGTGTACAGACTACTTAAATAAACTTTAAAAATAAAACAAAATAATAAGGATAAAAATACCTAGAATAAATCAAGTAGAAAAAAATGGCCATGGGGAACTTGTCTCTATTTCCACATCTTTCTGAGCCTACATGAGTCTTTTCCATGCCAGTTCCTTTCATATTCCATTTCCAAAGAACTCCAAACTCCTGGACAGTGGCACTACCATGACTTTTAGGGTCAGAAAATATTTCCTTGGGAAGAAAGCAGCTTCCTCAAGCAGTTTCTTTAGTGCTCACTGCCCAGGCTTGCTTACACCTTGACTCCACCTGCACATCACTGCCCTCTTTCTACCAACAAATCCCACTCTATTACAGCAACAATGCCCCCTTGGTGCCTGGAAAACCCACCTGGTGCACTAAAATGCTATGCAACACCAAATGGCTTCTTCCTCTAGTTCTGCTCAAAAATGGAAATTCCTCAATAATAAGTTTCCTCTTATGTTCACATCAAGTACAATGGCTACAGTTTCCTTTTTTTTTTTTTTCTTCAATATGAAGCAAACCACCTCTGTTACAATCCATGTTTGAGGCTTGTTCCTGTCTCTTTTGAGTGTGAAATATAAATCATGTTTTTATGATTTTTGTAAATCTTGACTTTTTACACCTTGTTTTTGTAAGCCGAAGTTTCTTATTAAAAGAATAAAATGATTTGTCTTTGCGTGCAGTCTTTATTCCAAATATTTGTTAAAATACCATTAGGTTATTCCTCAGGACAAGAGCAAAAATCACCCCCTGCAGAAACTTTGGACCTGTGTACAGAACTTTATAGAACAGAGGACAACACTTTGGCTGAAGCCTGACTGCTGACCAGAGAATGGAGTTCTGAGTGGGCTCAACGAAGAAAAGGCAATCGGGAAGGGAAGGTGCCCGTCTGAATGAAACTTCAACTTCCATCAGGGAAAGTCTTGTGATGGTCAAACATTGGAGGCTGTTTTTGTAAGGTTCGAGTACAGCACAGGGGGTTCCATGTGTCTGCAATCAGACGACAGGACAACGGGTGGCATTAGAAATGTAAAAGCCTGAAGGGAAATTAGGAAGAGACTCAACATTTCTTGCAATGTCTGTAAACATATTTAACTAGGAGTAGCCAAGGGCCTTATGTCAAGTCTCTCTCCTTCATTTTATAAACAGAAGATAAAAATTATTGCTTCTCTCTGCCTTTAGGGCTCCTAGACACGCAGAACAGTAGTTAAGTGCTTACCTATTTGGCTATACCCCTGGCTGAGGGGCCATTAGATCAATGTCACTCAAATTCCTGGCCAGCCAAACGCCTGCAGCAAAAAGTCCCAAATTGAGGATCAAGTTCCTGGAAAAAGAATATTTGATTAACCTTGTGCTGAGTCACTTGTCTTTAATGAAACATACCACGAGTAAAGGTTTACCATAACCACCCTGGAAAAACCTCCCGGGGGCACAAAGACTTCTAGAACTGCAGGAAGGTAGATCTTTACGAAGGCAGGTTGCCCACGACCCACGTGGTTACTTGCTTGGCAGTCGTTCCTGTGTCTAACGGGATCAAATGCAAAAGCCAATTAAACGCTCGCCCAGGGCTGAAAAGCCTGTGCGCTGGCGCCTCTTCTTCCCGGGTCCCCCTGGTCAGGGTGAGATTCTGTAGACAGCCCAGTAATTGAAAAGATCGCTTTTTTCGCACGGGAACTCTCCCCGTCAAGGACCTCTCCAAAGCACAGCCAGAGTCACTGCGAGGCCAAAACGCTGGCAAATGTAAAGGCGCCAGGTTGGGCGAAGATGGGAAGTACGGGAGGTGTGTATAGGGGAGCGGAGGGCCAGAAAGGGACAAGTTCCCGGGCTTCGGTTACCTCCGGAAATCGTTCCTGTCGGTGGCGAAGCGGTAGACGCCCCGAAGCCAATCTCCCACGTTGTCCGGAATTTCGGGAGCTTCATTCGCCGCGCCCGAGGCGCTCACGCCGACCCCACTGGAAGCCATAGTAGTACCCCCGGGATCCACAAGGCCTCGCCCAACGCACGGTGTCGGCGCCGGAGAATACGGAACTTCCGGTCTCGCACTTCCGCCGGCTACGGACCGACAGGGGGCGCAGCTGCTCCAGAGAGGTCGGGCGTCCGGGTGGGAGAACTCCCGGGCTGCGCGTCCCCGAGCTCCTCAAGGGGAGGAGCGCGGCCTGGCACTACAGTCGCCTGGACGCGTCCCGCCTCTGGCTCCCTCTTGGCCTTCAGCTGGCCAACCTGTCACTGCCACACGTGGTCTCTGAATGATCACTTCATTGGCTCAGGAAGATGATGAGGATGGGGCTGTCCCAGCCTGCGGGGGTGGGGATAGGGGTTAGCTCAGCAGGGGATGCGTAGCTTTGGGGGGTGGGGTTCCCCAAGAAAGTCTCCATCAGAAGTCATAGAATACGCAGGCTTAAGAGGGAGCACTCCAAGGTTGTGGTCTCGCCGCCTCTCCCAGGCGTGCCCTTGACTGCGTTCAGTCTAGGATTTTTATAGGGGGAGGAGAGCCTCGTTCTCCCACCTCACAGATCACACACCCCCTCCCCCATCTCCGGGCTGCGCCACTAGCAAATGGTGCAGTGCTTCCTGGAGGTGTCGCTGTCCCCAGCTTGGAGGCTTCTGGGGGTCTTCCAGGGCCCGGGAAGACGCTGGCCTAAGAAAAAGCCTTCGGGTTCCGAGTCAGAAGAAGAGGAGCAGGTGGGGCAGGCATCGAGGGGCGTCTCCAGGCGGCCCTGCTCCCGCCCTGTGGGTGCCTCCACCTTGTCCCCCGTTCGACGCTGCTGCCTTGGACTGGATCCAAGCAGCTCCCTCTGGGTTTCCAGACTGGAGCGGGGGGCAGCGGCGAGAAGGGCAGCTCGGGAGACCGTAGCGGCATCCAGCGGGGTGCGGTCCCTTTCTTCAACTCTGTCAACACCCGCCTCCCCTGTTCCGGGCCGGGTCAGAAACGCCCATCTCAGAGTCCCGACTCTCCAGCTCCGGGATCAGAGAGGGGCGGGCCCCAGAAGCCAGTCCCCGTTGGGGCCCGGCCCCCCCGCCCCGCCCCGCCCCGCCCCGCCCCCGAGCCGTGCGCGCCGCCGCCGCGGACACGACTTCTCTACCGGGCTCCCCCGCCCCTCCCCGCCGCCGCCCACCAGAGGGCGACCGCGTCCCCAGTCCGGGAGTGAGTCCCGCGCCGCAGCCCCAACGGTGGCGCGGGGTGGGTTCGGGAGGCCCTTGGAGCGCTCCGGCCAGGGACGCGCGGTGAGAGCTGCGGGCCCCGAGGCTCGGGTCGGGGCGGGGGGGTGCGGTGGGGGGGACGGGGGCGCTGCTGGAGGGACGGGACGGCGTGGGACCGGGGCGAGGGTCCCAGTCCGGGAGAATCCCCTCCTCAGCCCAGCCCAAGCCGCTGCCCCCTTCCCCTTTGATCTGCACTTTCTCCTCCCTTACCGGGGGACGCCCTACCTTCCAGTGTCTGGGCCCGGCTCGAGCCGGAAACCGAATAGCGACTCTCAAAGCAGCTGGGGCAGCAGGGGCCGCCCCCCGGCAGGGCATAAAGTCCCCCGCCCAAGGGCCCGGCGCAGTCCTGACAGCAGAAGTGGTTCTCGTGCCAGCGCCGTCCCTCCGCCTCGGTGCAGCGCCGGGAGAAGATCAGCTGGGAGAGGGAGGGAGAGCAGTTCATTCATTCATTCATTCATTCATCCACTCGCTCATTCATTCACCCAATAACCACGCCTTATACCCAGTTAACGCTAAAGCACGTCGTCTACAGACATCCCATCTGATCTACTCCACCACTCTCGGATGCAGGGAGGGCTGATTGGCCTAGCCAGGATCCCGCTAGCAGGTGGCACAGCCTGAAGAAGTGCGACCCTGGTCGCTTGGACTCCCAACCCAGGGTTCCACTCTGCCTCATATACTGACAGTATGGCAGTTCCTCGCCTGATCAGGCACAGCACTGGGCACCAGGAAAGCTGAGATGAACGTCTGTCTGACACTCCCTGCTCCGGAGAAATTCTTAGTCCACGAAAATCTGGGGGACTCTGCTTGCGGTCGGGGAGGGTACAAGACAAGTCTCCATGCCCAAAGCTCAAGCGAGAACACGGGGAACACAGAAGTCCCAGGCTGGTTCTGAGTTCTCCATTCCTGAGTGCTGGAAGAGGTGTCCCCTTACATCCTGCCACGTTGGACCCTAGGCAACCCTCCCAGTTCTCCCCCAGCGCCCCCCCCCCCCCCGCCTTCGGGGGCTGTACCTGGTCACAAGCCGGGCAGCGCGGCCGCAGCAGCTCTGCGTGATGGCGGCCGCAGTAAAGACTCCCGTCGTGGTAGAAGTAGATGAGGTTTATCAGGGCCTGGCCGCAGGCCTGGCAGGCAAAGCAAGCCCGGTGCCAGTAGCGCCGCTCCCCTGCCCGGGCTGCGAACACTCCGTACTCCCCTGGCCTCAGCCGCTCCCTGCACTGCCGGGCGCGGATGCTCAGCTGCCCAGAGGCCGCATCATGCTCCTAGCTTCCCTCCTGGCGCTACCATCCCACCCCCCACCGAACTGTTCTCCCCCCACCCCTGGCAAGCCCACCTCCACTGCAGGCGCCACTGGAGAACCCCTAAACTTGGCTTCTTTTTTTCCTCAAGTTTTCCAAGCTGTCCATCCCCCCTTTTCCCACCCGAGTCCCTAGAGCTAGCCCCTTCTGCAGAAGTGAGAGGGCAAAGGGGAATGGGGGGGGGGGGCACTACGTACCTTCTCGCAGGTGTGTTCTGGCAGCTCGGGAGGTACCAGGAGGGCCACCCCCTGTCCCAGGGCCTCCCGCCTCCTCTGAGCACAGAAGAGCCGCAGCTCTGCCAGCTCATCCTCCCCAAGGGCCAGGCAGTAGCGCTCCTGCAAAAACAGGCCTCCACTGTGAGTGGGAGAGCCCCCAGCAGGCAAGACTGAAGTTCGATTGGAGAGAGAAGGCTTAGCCGCTGGGTCAGAGGAAGGTTGTAGAACCTCCAGGAGGTGCAGAAGATAACAGCACAGAAGGGCATTGAGAAGGAGAGGGAAAGAGGGAAGAGAGTTGGAAATAAGTCTACATCAGTCTCACTTTCCCCCAGGAATGGCCACCACTCAGGTCCTGACAGCCCACAGCACTGAGCCCTGTCACCACATATTTAGATCCTTGCCCCCCAGTGAGCTGTAGCTCACTATCGCTTTCTGTTGTGTTTTTCCAATGTATTCCACATTTCTCCTGTCTTGCCTCCCCAAGTGAACTGTAAGCCTTTAGTCTGGGCGCACACAGGGCCTTAATAAATACTTAACCAACCATACTTTCTACATTTGTACATTCCATTATCGGTTTCAAAAGTCGTTCATGTCCATTTTCTCATTTGCTCCTCAACTAAGCATTGTAAGCAGAGGGGATGCTATCTCCTCCCCCCGCCCCTCCCCCGCCCCGTGTGGACTTGGAAACTCGGGCTGGGGCCGGAGCGGGATGGCTTCTTCAATTACTAGCGTAGCTAGGCCCTAGATCCGTGTCCTCTGGCTTCTGGCCCCACAGTAAATAAAGAGAGGGAGGTGAGAAAGAGGGATGCTGGGGAGAGGGAGACCCACGTCGCTGTCCTGTGGAGGCAGCTGCTGCAGGAGGATCCGAAGCCCAGGCTGGTTGGGGGCCCAGTTGGTGTCCAAGCCAGGAAGCCCCAAGCTCAGAATTTCAGGGTCCTGAGGAGATGCGGCAGGAGAGGGGTGGTTGGGTTTGCCTTCCTCTTCTTTCCTCCTCTCCTCACTGCCACCCCTTCTCCAATCTGGAACAACTTCCAAGCACCCCCTCCTTCAAGATCAAGACAAGGACAGGTGGTCTGCTCCTGCATTTGTGCTCTGATGGAGGCAGGTTGGGGAGGCCCCGCTCCCCCCCCCCCAAATGGTATCCTTTCTTATGCTTTAAGTCACCCCTTTTACTGCTTAGGGCCAAAGCCTAGAGTCTGCCCGGACAGCACAGACCCCCTAGAGGAAGTAATGTGTATTCATGTGAAGAAGTTCACATGTATTCATGTGAAGAATGTGAAGGTGGCGGACCCCTATATCCCGACGCAAGGGGGCTGTAGAGACAAGGATTATTCTTGCAAAGAGAAGAGGGCCAATGGAGGTTGGGCAGAAAGGCTAACATCCTTCCAGGTGGTGGAAAGGGGAGGAGGTCAGTCTGTAGGATGGAGAGCATGTTGGGGCCAGAGGGAAGGGCAGGGCTCCTACTACCTGCTCAGAAGTTTCCTCAGGATCCTCCTTGGGCAAGTGGCCTGGGTCAGTGTCTGAGTCGGCTGGCGGACCTAGCTCCCAAGGGGTGAGGCTCTCCCCTCGGTGGGGCCAGCCAGAGTTCAGCACTGACATTGGTGACAAAGTCTGCCCAGAAAACAAGAACACTTCCCATTAATCAGGCCCTTACAACATGCCAGGCAGTGGTAAGTGCTTTGCAGGCATTGTCTCCTTCAGTTCTCCCAATCACCAAGTGAGGTGGGTGGTCTTCTTGACCCCATTTTGCAGATGGCCAAACTGAGGGTCAGAGAGGATATGTGCCGGAGGTCACACAGCTACTAAGTGGCAGAGCCACATCTTGGAAGTCAGGCCTTCTGGCTCCAGAATTTCTGAAGCTCAAACTCTGGGGTCTCCCAAGACCCAGACATAGGAAAGAGGAGGCCCATCGTGCAAAGAGAGGGCATTCTGCCTTTCTGGAGAGCCCCGCCTCCCCAGCCTCAACTCCCACCCTTCCTGACAGTGCACTGAACACCCCAGTGAGCCTGCTTCCTCCGCACTCCCAACACAGGCCCTCCTTTTCCAGCTGTAGGCTCAGGGCAGGTAAAAGGACCACTTCACCAGGAACCCCTTCCCAGCCCCTCCAGCCTGTACCAGCTCTCCCTTCCCTGAGCTCCAGAAGTAAGTGCATTCCGCACCCTGAGAGATTTAGTACCTAATGTTTCTCTTTGGGCCCTGTGCCCCTCTCAGTTCCTCATCTGGTCTATAAGCCTGAGGACAAAAGAAAATATTGTGCTTGTGGATTCTACCGAGAGCAGCAATTTCCAGTTTCATCGGATAATTCTAAATACATCTCTTCAGCCCTCCTCTGGGCCAGACCTAGCAGGACCACAGTATCTTGAGGGGTGGGGGTGACTACTGAAGTAGAAAAGGAATGGGCCCTGCCCTCAAGGAGCTCATGGCCCAGTGGGTAAGACAGAGATGAGACCAGGGAGAACGAGGCCAGAGCTCTGGGCAGGTATGTACAATACCCTCCGAAGAAAAATAACCAGAGCAACGTTTCTATGACGTTTACTCTGTGCAAGGGACTATATTAGCATTTTACATAATATTATGCATCCTCATAACAATCCTATCAGGTAGTTTCTGTTACCCCATTTTCCAGTTGAAACAAAGAAACAAACCGATGTTAACCTACCTAAGGTTACATTAGAAAACTAAGGGATATTCTAGGGAGAGGCTGCTTTGGAGATCTGGGATGGAATCTGACTGCAGCTGGGCACAGGAGGGCCTCACCAAATCTCAGTCCTCTTTATAAGACCCAGCTTTGCGGTTGGGAACAAAATTTGGACTATAACAGTTATATTGCTTCCCAGCCCTGCAAGGCACCCCCCAGCCCCCTTCAGAAGTCCTGCGCCACCCAGCCCTGCTTCCACACCCATCTGCTTCCTTCCTGTTCTGTCCCTCTGGTCCTGTTTCCTGTGGAAAACAGCCAGTGTGGGCTAAGAGTAGCCACTAACTCTAACACCAATGCCCCTGCCCCAGGCAGCAAGAGGCCCTTGGGGGAGGGTGCGAACAGGACAGGGGCCATCTGGGATCTCAGAGTGGATTGGGACCCTGTTTTCCGGGTTATAGTATGAAATTGCCCCCCACAGAAACAACACTCAGAAATCAGCCTTCACCCCTCACCCTCCCATACTCCCACCTCCACTCAGCACTGGGCCCCGTCTTACTAACATGCTGGATTCCTTCAAGAATTCTCGTCCCCTCCTTGGATAAGGGCTGAAACCCCTCTCCCGCCCCTGCGCAGGTGCAACCCGGCTCAAGGGCAGAGCCTGAGCGGCCCCTAGGGACTGGGGAGGTAAAAGGATGGGAAGGTTTTCCGCGGACAATGGAGGGAGAAGTGTCCGATCCCGCCAAGAGTCTTCTCGATAGATCCCCAAAGTTTTTTCTTGGACTTCCCCAGGAGTCAGTTGGGGTCCCCAGTCTGGCTGTTGGGAGTTCAGGGGAAGGAATGGGACTCTGCTGGGGTCTCACCCTCGCTGCGCGCCGGTGTCCGGGCCGTTCTTGACAGACCCCGTCGTCGGGCCTCCACTTAGTCCCCACCCCGAGGCCTCAGCGCCTGCCCCTGCCCCCCCCGGGAGTGCAGCCCTTCCCCCCCGCCCCCCCCCCCCCCCCGTCCCCCGCAGTCCCTGCCCGCCCCTCGGGGACTGGTAGAGCCAGTGGCTCGGGAGGGGCCTGGTGCTGCAGCCAGAGGGAAAGCATTTGGGGGATCTCAGGGTGGAAATTGTGCAGCCTCCACTCTCCCCTCTCCCCTCTCCCCACTCCCAGGTGTTTAGCGCCGGCACCGCGCCCCCGCGGGCACTGGGCCGACACTAGGGTGCCGTCGTTTTGCCGGGTCTTCTCTCAGTCGCTCCCGGAACACAAAGTCTCTCGGAGCCAGCATGTCCCCCCCCCCCCCACGCCCCCCCCGACCCTCCCTCGGGTCTCCTAGCTCCGCCTCTCTCTGTCTGTTCTCACCCCCACCCAGTTGCCTTTCCCGGTCCCCAGCCCCTTTTAGGGATCCTTCGCCTTGCGCTTCTCCCTTCCGACCCTTCAGACCTTTCCCCCATCTTTTTTGTCTCTCCCCTACCCGGGTCCCTTTTCTGATCCCGGGAGTGGAAACCTCTGGGTCCACCTCTGTTTCCCTCTTCAGCCCCGCCCCCCGTCCCGCCCCCGCCCAGGTTCCGCCCTGCCCCCGCGGGGCTAGCTTCGCTGCTGGCCCGGAGCGCCCTCTGGCGTGTGCGCATGCTCCCTGCTCCTGACTGCAAAGTCCTCCAAAGGGACCTTCTAGGCTGCGCGCCTGTCGCCCCCGATCGGGTCCGCCCGCCCGCAGCGTCTCGTTGGTGTTGCCGGTGACCTCCGACCCCGCGACCGCGGGGCGGGGCGGGGAGGCCTTAGCTCCGGGCGGGCGGCGGCAGCTGCAGCGGGACCCGGGAGCGGGGCCCGGCGCCGCCCGGGCCGCGGGGCGATGTGAGTCGGGGCGCGGCGGGGCGGGGACGAGGCGGTTCCACCGAGGCCGCACCGCGCCGCGCCGCAGTCTCCGCTCCCTCCAGAGGAAGCCCAGGGCGGGCGGGCGGTGGAATCCCGGGGCTGGGGGCGGGGATCCAGGGACTGCGCGCGGCCCCGACCTCCCCCATTGCTTCCCAGTGTCTGTAGAAATTCCCCTGACAACCCCGCAACCTAAATCTGTCGCTCACGCCCCAGAACCACCCCACCCCCACTCACCTCCGGACACACCTTCGCTAGTCCTGGAGCCCTCAGAACCCCCTCACTCTTGCGAATTCTGTTACGCCCGCAGAGCCACCATTCTCCGGGATGCCCCCGAATGCTTCCAGAGCTCTGTGGCTCCTCTGATCCTGCATACGCCCCATTCTCCTTGCACCATGCTCAAATGCAAAAAAACTTGCCCACGTTTCTCTGAGCCCTCTTACATATTTTGAGTCCCCATAATCCCTGACACTCCGCATCTCCAATCCATACGTATCCCAGACCTGAGCCCCCTCTTCCTGTCTCAGCCAAAGTAACCCCCTTCAGTGAAGTGTCATGATATGTCCTGATACCTTAAAGACAAATGCAGGGGACAGAAAAAGATGCAACACCCTCCCCCATCTTGCACCCTGTAGTTCTTGGTTTCACCCTCAGACTCCTTTTTGATGGCTCAAGCCTCGGTATTTTCCCAGCTGCCCGTCTTTAGGCTGTGTACATCTCCCTGAGCCTGCTTCCTTCTTCGAGAGAATAAGCCAGACCAGGGGGTGGGGGTCCTTTTATCTGGGAAGTTGTCTGAGGAAGCAGAGCCCAAGGGGCCCTGGGAAAACATACTGCTTCTGGAAAGCAGGCGGGTGGGATTTCAAGGATCTCCAAGGTCCTGGCTTGTCAGTTTGTCCACCTGGGGCTCTGATCTCTGAAATTTTGATTTATTGTTAGCATGTATGTTAAAAATTTTAAGCCTTTCAGAACTTGGAGAACAGAAAATCTATCAGGTTTCCAAATGTGAGATTGAGGGAGCTTGTTCTGGAAGAGGCAAATGTCCATTTTAGTGACGTTTTTCCTATGCACTTCTAGAAGTTATTTCAGCGAGAAACTCTGCAGGTTACAGATGTTTCCCTTGAAAACTAAGGCCTTGAGGTGGGAGGTGGGAGGTCGACTTGCCAGAGTCTCCCAGATGCTTAATGGCAACAAAACAGACTAGAAGATTGGTTTTCTGAAGCTTAAGCCGGCGTTCTTTCCCATACATCATAGTGTCCTTTTGAGAAAGCTCTCTGTAAAGTTCCCCACAAAGGTTTTGGTGTTGGTTGTAACAGGATTCAGATGGGGTCGGGGTCTAGAGGTAACTTAAAAGGTTGCCTCAAACTCAAACTCATTGCTGCTGTGGGAATCACTCCCTCTCAGCGCCTGTGGGGCTTTGAATTGGTGGCCCCTTTGCCCTTGATCTCACTTTCTTCTTTGTGTTTCTGTCCCCTTAGGACCTGGAACAGATAATCCAGGTGGGATGGACTGACCGCAAGTGAGTTTCATTAACAATTGGGGGCGAGGATGAAAGGTTTCCACTAACCTGTGGTCTCTGTCTCCTGTGCTAGGTGAGCCCCAGGTGTGTCCCAGAGGGATCCAGGTGACTTCTCTGCAGACTACTTGCCATGACGCCCCACCAAGAACAGGGGGAATAAAGTGGGGGTCCTTCCCCATGCCCCTCCCATGGTCAGCTCCCCAATGGCCTGGGTGAGGTGAGAGCTGTTTATAGGAGCCACTTTTCTGGAGTTTTCCAAGTTGGGAGGAATGGGGGATATAGGTCAGGATTGTTCAAGGCTCTACACGTTCAGTGGGAGTTATAGAAGGATATCTAATCCTACAGGTTCATTTCTTGTATCGAGTTGCAACCCATTCTGGTTGGGATCTTTCTGTGCATTTGCTTGCTCCCGTAGGTCTTTCAAGCTTGGTGGTGTCCTCTCCATTCTAGACAGAGGCCCAACCATTGTGACATATAATCCAAGTGCCATAATCCTGGAGGGAAAAGCCAGATAGTAAGTCCTCTGGTCTCCCCTTTAGATGAAGGAGAGAAAACCCAGCATTTATTTTTTCCATGAAGAAATAGCTAATTGAGGTTATAAAAATTGTGCCCTGTTTTAACTTCAGTCTTCTTACTGTATCTTTTGGCCATAATATAATACCCCATGGAAGAGAACATCAAAAAGATAAATTTGAAGTAGATGTTGGGATGGTAGGGAAAAAAAGAGAATTTGGGAGATGTAGGAAGGGTGAGGTGGAAAAGAAGCCAAAAAAAAAAAAAAAAAAAAAAATGAAAGGTCCAGGCTAAAGTGTCGGGGACTGCCCAGTTACAGTTTGTTTGCTAAATCTGAATGAGGGCCCCAAACTAGCACCCACCTCCCCCTGAAGCAAATCACTTCTTCTGGTTCCCTGCTTGTATCCATTCCCTTCTTTTCCTGCAGCTCAGGCTTCCCTTCGCTTTCATTACATCTGTCAAAATCCTACTCACTTCTCAAGGTCACGGTCAGATGGTACCTCTGAGAAGCTCTCTTCCATCCCTCTGTCAGAATTAATCTTTAACACATCCTCACTTGAATTAATGTTTATCCAGTGCATGCCTGGCCCTGGATTGAGAGTGTGAATTTCTTAAAAAAATATTTTTTTCCAATGCTTATTTATTTTTGAGAGAGAAAGAGAGACAGAGACAGAGAGACAGAGTGTGAGTGGGGGAGGGACAGAGAAAGAGAGACACAGAATCCGAAGCAGGCTGCAGGCTCTGAGCTGGCCGCACAGAGCCCGACGTGGGGCCCGAACTCACAAACTGTGAGATCATGACCTGAGCTGAAGTCGGACGCCCAACCAACTGAGCTACCCAGGCGCCCCGAGAATGTGACTTTCTTCAAGGAGGGACAGTGTCCCACTGTGCCCAAGAGTAGGTGATCACAACGAGGTCGTTCTGCCAGAGTCCCCAGAGTGAGGCTTTTTGGAGCTGACCTCGGTGACCTTATCCCTTATGTTTTTCCCTAGGGCGGACTGGCTGCTCTGACACCATGGGGAGCTGCTGCAGCTGCCTGAACAGAGACAGCATCCCAGACAACCACCCTACCAAGTTCAAGGTACCCACTGCCCCCTCCTCTCCTGAGCTCTCCCAGCATGGCCTCCTGGGCTCGGGCCAACCTGTTGAGTTGCCTCTGCCTCCCTAGAGAAGGTGAAGGGACCGGCTGAGGTTGTGGCTCACTAAGATGCCTCAGAGCTGCTGAAGTGGCCTGGGGAGCGGGGCCCAGGCTGCTGCCAGTGCTGTGGTTCTCCTACACCGTTACTAACTACAAAGAATGAAGAAATACTGTGATGAAAAATCGTGCTTTTAGAACGTTCATTCCTGCCAATTTATCTTTGTAGCTTTACATATATATGTATGTACGTGTGTATATATGCATATATGTATGTATGTATATGTGTGTATGTGCGTGTATATAAATGTGTACACACACATACACGTATGGTGGTTTTTTTGGAGAAAACAACAAAAGTCTCCATTAATGGGTTATTATACATAAAGTATTTAAAGCAGTGCATAACACCTGGAAGCCCAATATTAGTGTTTGCTGTTCACTTTGGGAAGGTAAGGCCGGGCCCAGTGGACCTGTGCACCCCTGGCCACCTGCCACCTCTCACCTCCCTGTAGGGGGAGCCCCCTCCCCGCACTCAGCTTGTGAGGCACAGGTTTCTCCTGCTCACCAGAAGAGGGAGCCCTTAGCAAGGGTCTGGAGTTGGGGAGGGGGTGGAGGTCTGTGTTCTGTCCTGGGCTTGACTCTCCCCCGGGGGTCTTAAGATTTTGAACTTATAATCGAACCCCTTCCTCCATTAGCATCTGGTCCTTGGATACAAGCGGTGGACCATCCAAGGTTATGTAACCTTGGCCGTCAAACCATCTGACCTTGGAGGTCAGCTAACCACCCCTGCCTCACTGCCCAGATGACAAAGCAGAGGCCTAGAGAGCTGCTGTGGGTCCTTGGCACTGCTTCATCCGCTTAGTCTCCCAGCGATCATTTGGCCTCTCCGGGGAGTCTGGTAGAGGCAGGCGAGCCCCCTGGCCCCCCAGCCCTAGCCCTGCATTGGCCTGCCTCCCAATGGCTCTGGGACCCCTACATACTTGATGGGTTCACTCAATGACCCTTCTGTTCCCTGCCCCTCAGGTGACGAATGTGGATGACGAGGGGGTGGAGCTGGGCTCCGGAATCATGGAGCTAACACAGAGCGAGCTGGTGCTGCACCTGCATCGGCGCGAGGCTGTCCGCTGGCCCTACCTCTGCCTGCGGCGCTATGGCTATGACTCCAACCTCTTCTCCTTTGAGAGTGGCCGCCGGTGTCAGACGGGCCAGGGTCAGTACCGCCCCTGGGATAGGGGCGAGGGGGTGGGGCCGGAGGTCATAGCTCAGGGGACCATGAGGAAGCCTGTTGGCTTGGCAGGTGTTGCCCAGAGAAGGGAAGGTTGATGGCCAAGAGCACACAGCATGTTGATATGGAACTAAGTGGACTCCCAGGCCGGTGCTCCTTCTCTTTGGTCACTGCGGCCCCAGCCTGGGACCTTCTGTGGGGACATTTGTTGCACAGCCCATGGGAAAGAGCCAGTGCTCCCGAGGCCAGAGCCTGCCTGGGAGAGTTCTTTTCCCTCTGTGACCAGTTTCGAGGGACCCTTGTCCACTACACAGGAACAGACTTTCTTGTGGGCCCCCAAGTCCTATACCCTGGAGCCATGAACAGTGAAGGGTCAGGGTCAGGGTCAGGCTAGAGGCTCTGATTACCTTGGGCCTGCATGGCTTGTGAATGCTAGGCTTGGGGAGGCCAGACTCTTGTGTCTCTGATATACAGAGTAACCCTGGAGAAGTTCATCCTTGTCTCCTGTCACCTGTGGGCAGCGGAGTATGATATGTTCTCCCTTCCTGCCCTTTCTCCCTGCAGCCAGGGGTCAGAGAGTAGTGATCATTCCATGAAGTCAAGGCTAGAGCCCGCCCTGGCTCTTTGAAGGAGTAGCATGGTCTCAGCTTATCTTGTAGGACCCGGGCCTGAGTTCTGCAGAGAGAACCTAGTACGGGCTTGTGTTGGATGCAGTTGGGGTTGTGACAGCAGGGTTGCGACGAACGAGCTTGTCTGATGAGGCCACCATCACAGTAGTGAGCCTCTGACGTCCTGCTGGCTGCGAGCCTTCTCCTCCACACATCTTACCCTTTGGTTGTCTGAGGTAGGGGATGTTAAACACTGCCTGAGCAGAGAGAGGACAGGAAGGGGCTTCTCCTCCTCGTGGTATTTAAGCAGCAGTTGGGATCCCAGAGGGGTCGCTCTAGGCCCCCACACCGGGTTCTCCTAAAACTCCAGGCTTTCCCAGCCTTTTGTAGCCCCTAACATGTCTTGCCAGAAAGGTACTTTTCCTTCCCCACCCCCCTCCCCTTGCTGTCCGTCCCATCCCTGCAAACCTCAGGTGTCCCATACCCCAGCCTGGTTGTGGTGCTCACACACACCCCAAGTAGCCTCCCCTGAGCCCTGGACCCTGCTGTTGCCAGGTTGGGGTAGAATTCCAGGCTGGCCTAGCACCCCAGGGACATCTTTGGAGCCCTTGAGTCACGGGTACTCAGCCCAGGCCTGCCGTCCCTGGGACTGTGAGCTGATGCATTGGAATCTGAGGGGCCGTCAGGACAGCTGCATTGAGGAGACACAAGATGGCCTTGCCATGTGTGTCCTAGAGCGAGTCTGCTCGTCCTTCCTTCCTTCCAGCATCAGAGATTAAGTTCCATGAGGCCAAGGGCCCATCCAGAGTAGACATTCCCTCTCCAGCTAGGCAGTGGCTAAGTACCCAGGGAACAGGCAACGAACAGGACAGCTCTCCTGCCCTCGTGGAGCTTGGAGGTGGTTGGACTGGAGCCGAGGCTTGGTGCCCTGGGTAGAGCTCCTTTTTCTGGGGAGTGATAGGCAGAGGGAGACAGGGGCAGCATGTGAAGTGTCATCTAACACAGTCCAGCCTCTTACCCCTTATCTTCAGGGCACAGCCCCAGTGCGTGCTTGAAATCACAGATAGTACTGAACCCTGTATTCACCATGCATTCCCTGATACATACGTGCCCGTGATAAGGTCTCATGTATAAATGAGGCGCAGTAAGAGATGAACAACTGTTACTAGTAATAAGGCAGAGCAGTTATAACAACGTACCGTAGGAAGAGCTAGGTGAGCGTGGTCTCTCTCAACGTGCCTTACGGTAGCACCCTCACCCTTGTGACGAGGCGAGATGATAACATGCCCGCGAGGTGGGAGGAGGTGAGGGGAGTGTTGCAGGCGCTGTGACCTAGCGTGAGGCTGCTACTGACATTCTGACAGTCTGTCAGAAGGAGGCTCATGTGCCTCTGGACCCTGGTTGACTGCGGGTGACGGAAACTGCAGGAAGCAAAGCTGTGGATAAGGGGCAGCTGCCATCCTTTTCTGCTTTGGTGTTTACTTCTCTTCCCCTCACCTGTGTTCACACACATCCTTGTGAACACGATTTAACCGTGGGGGAGTATAGGTGAGGTATGAGATCTCTAGACAGTGGTAATGGATAGTGGGGGGGGACAGGAAGGGGCCTGGGGCCCAACTCCTCCCGGAACTCTTGGATTTTAGAGTGTGCTCAGGACGAGGAGGGCACTTCCCGTCCCCTGCAGGCCTGGGACTGGCATTCAGGGACATTTTCCTGAGCTTTGTGCGTCCGTTCAACCTCTCTGGTCCTTTCCTACTGGTACACGGTCAGAGGGGCCTCACTTCTTCCTCTCCTTCTTCAGGGATATTCGCGTTCAAGTGCTCCCGGGCTGAGGAGATCTTCAACCTGCTTCAGGATCTGATGCAGTGCAATAGCATCAATGTGATGGAAGAGCCAGTCATCATCACCCGCAACAGTCACCCGACTGAGCTCGACCTCCCTCGGGCCCCCCAGCCTCCCAATGGTGAGGAGACCCCGTCCTTGGCACCTCAGCCTCCACATCTGTACGCACAAGCGCAGGCCCAGGCAGTGCCGGTCTTGGAGGCACGAGTCAGGCAGGCAGGTGGGATGGCTGGGCGATCCATGCTTCCAGGACAGTTGCCCACCATCAGATGACTCTTGGGGATGAACAAGTCCCCGTCTGGGCCAGTCAGGTGACTCATGCTGACGCTGGGGAGTCCTGGGCCTTGTATTGACTAATGGTCTGGGAAGCAGACGGGGAGACGTTGGGTTTCCATGGAAACAGCAGTCTGGAGCTATTTTGCTTCCTTCAGTCTACTGGGTCATACCCGGCTTGGTTCAGGCATCTTTGCCCATGACTGATTTCTGGAGAGGTTCCCTCAGCTTCTACTTATTTATTCACTGAGTCCACACTGAGCCCCTGCTGCATATTTTGCTCTCCATGAACTGGCCCATGGTAGGGAGCGGGGGACGGTGCGGGGGGGGGGGGGGGGCCCTGGCAGTGCGCAGAAGAAATAGAAACGCGGCCCCTGATGTCTGGGCACTTCCCTGAAGCTCACTGGCAGAGCTCGAATGAGATGAAGGGACAGTGACGACAAGGTGGCCTTAAGTGTTTCAGATAAGGCTGTAATGGGGGAAATGGGGCTCACACTGAGCTTTGAGGGAAGGGGCAGGGTTTGAACCACCGAGAGGTGAAAGATAACAGGGGCTGCTGGTTCAGTAGAGCTAACCATCTGGGGCCCTGGGAGCGTGTCCCCTCCCGTTGGAGGACTCCCAGGACACCGCACATGCAGTGGCAGGTGGTTGGCAGGTGGTTGAAGTACCTCCCCCCACCGCCATTGCTGACCTGGGCTTGTCTCCTGTGTGCCCAGCTCTAGGCTACACTGTCTCCAGCTTCTCCAATGGCTTCCTTGGCTGCCCAGGGGAGGGCCCGAGATCCTCAGCACCCCGGCGCCCCTCAACGAGCAGCCTGCGACACCCCTCGCTTGGGGAAGAGTCCACTCATGCCCTCATTGCCCCTGATGAGCAGGTGAGCAAGCAGCTGCCCTGCTCCTCCCTGTCGGTCTGGGTGGGGATGGGGGACCGGGAAACAGGGCGCCTCGTAAGGATCACGGGAGGGGAGGAACGTTGATAGGGTCCCTTACTGTCCCAGAAAGGGATGCAGCTTCCCTGGGAGGTGTGGCGGACAAGGAAGAGGGGGAAACTCCAGCACTTTTCCCCTATGCCTCTCTTATCCGTTCCCTTCTGCTCTCTCCTCCTTCCCTGCCCTCGGGCCTACCTGCTTCCCTTGGACTCTTTCCCCCAGTCCCACACCTATGTCAACACGCCAGCCGGTGAGGATGACCACCGCAGGAACCGGCATGGCCTGCAGCCCCTGCCTGAGGGCCAGGTGCCCTTCCCCCCGCAGGCCCGGGGCCCTGACCCACGGGACCCCCAGGTGTTCCTGCAGCCGGGCCAGGTGAAGTTTGTGTTGGGCCCAACCCCTGCTCGGCGGCACATGATGAAGTGCCAGGGCCTCTGCCCCAGCCTGCATGACCCCCCGCCCCACAACAACAACAACGAGGGCCCTTCCGAGTGCACTGCCCAGCCCAAGTGCACCTATGAGAACGTCAGTGCGGGGCTGCGGCCAGGGGCTGGCTGGAGACTGAGCACGGAGGAGCCAGGCTGGAATGGCCTTGCCCACCGCCGGGCGGCCCTGCTGCACTATGAGAACCTGCCCTCCCTGCCCCCTGTGTGGGAGAGCCACGCCCAGCAGCTGGGGGAGGAGGCTGGGGATGACGGAGACTCGAGGGATGGGCTCACTCCCTCCTCCAATGGCTTTCCTGATGGCGAGGAGGATGAGACCCCGCTGCAGAAGCCCACCAGCACCCGGGCTGCCCTCCGTAGCCATGGCAGCTTCCCTGTGCCGCTGACCCGCCGCCGAGGCTCCCCGAGGGTCTTCAACTTCGATTTCCGCCGGCCGGGCCCCGAGCCCCCCAGGCAGCTCAACTACATCCAGGTGGAGCTGAAAGGCTGGGGTGGAGACCGCCCCAAGGGGCCCCAGAACCCCTCGGTCCCCCGAGCCCCTGTGCCCACCACCCACCCTGCCCGCAGCTCAGACTCCTACGCCGTGATTGACCTCAAAAAGACCGTGGCCATGTCCAACCTGCAGAGGGCGCTGCCCCGAGACGATGGCACTGCCAGGAAAACCCGGCACAACAGCACCGACTTGCCTCTGTAGGGACTTCCTTCCTCACGCTCCGCCTCACGCTCCTGTCCCCTGAACCCACACCCTGGGGTTCAAGGTTGCTTTGCAGAAGGGCATTGAGGTGGAACCAGATGCTTCCCTGCGCTGGCTGGGGTCCCCAAAGATATCAGCCACTGAGTCTCCTGGTCTCCAAGCTGGGGAGAAGAAGGGTGACCAGGCGAGGAGGGAGCTGTGACGTAAACTGTGAAGGGTTCCTGTGATGCATTTAGTGCCCTCCCGTTATGTCCATTTGTCTTGTCTGTCGTCTGTGTGTTTTCTTTAGTTGAAATTTGGAAACATTTTGTACCTGTTGATTTTATTTATCAGTTTATTTTTCTATTTATTGTTTTAAATGTAATTTAACATATTTATTATTAATATAATTATTTTTAAATTCTGGCTTGGTGAATGATGTCGCATTCTTAGGGAATCTCTTCTGGCATGGTTCTAGGTGGCAGCAGGGGAGGGCTTACAGAGGGAGGGGCTTCATTCTGGGCAATTTGGGGGTGGGTAGGGTTTTTATGACACGTCTGTGACCGTTTCTTTCTCCCCTCTGAGAAGCCCTGGCCCAGAACCTAAAGTTGCCAGGGACGGACGTGCTGGCAAAGGAAAGCGACAGGACAGCTGGAGTCCTGGATGCACAAAGGGGATCTGGAAGGAAAACTGCCCTAATGGGAACACCCTGACCCTCCCAAGTTGGCAGGGGCGGGGGAGAGAATTTCGTGGGGGTGGGGCTACACCAGGTCTAGGACCCCTCACCGATGTCCCTTCTGCCACCAGGCAAGTCCCAGGGGAGTACTGCTCTCCTCTTAACACCCTGGCCCAGAGGTGGACCCTGGATCCCCCTTGGCACCCGCAGCATGGTTAGATCAAGGCTGGAGCCTTTAAACAGGACTTTACTAAAAGCCCAGAAATAGCAAACGTGAAAAACAGTTGTCATGTGTGACTAATCATACTTCCCAGAGAGCTGCTCCCCAGGAATGGACTCTTTGAGGTGCTTCTTCCCTACCACAGGGATGGGGCCCTGGCAGAGCTACCACATCTGAGCACCTGCCTGGAGCCCGGGGTCTGCACAAGCCCCTGCCTGGTTCAGTATTGCAGGAGCTTCCTTGTCCTGAGGCTGCCCCTTCCTCTTCCTCTCACTGGCCTCCCAGCCCCCAAGACTCCGTTTCTAGCTCAGACCCCTGAATGGTTAATCTGAAGGAGATCCAGCGTCTGCGATAAGCCACTCAGGGCCTGGGGGAGGAGTGGGAGCAGGGTTTGCCCAAGACTTAGGGACACGCCTTCTTGTCTCTGGTCACTGCTTGTGCCCCAGCTCCCTGCCCTGTGGAGCGAGCAGACCGATCCCCCTTACCAAGGAGACCGGCCAGGGTAGGGCCTGCCCAGTTCCCTCTCCTCCTGCCGTCCAGACTTCAATTCCGGGACCGCCCTCTCCCCTGGGTGCGGATTGAACTGACTAGCTTCCAGACTTCTCCGCCCTTGGATGTCACTCTCCTGTCAGTGCAATGGGCAAATGGAGAACTGGCCACAACAGGATGTGAGAGAGTCCCTTCGCCTGGGGCCCGGCAGGGTCCAGGGGTACAGCTGGTGCTACCCCAGAGCTGACCCCAGACCCTTCCCTCTACCTTCTTCTGATCTCTGGGCCAGAGGGAGGACTGCTGAGGCCAAGTTTGTTGCACTGTTTCCACGGTGCACTACGGGATGGCATCCTTTTCGCAGCCCCCCCCGCCCCCCCCCGGGGGCTCCATCCTGCTTTCTCCATGTCCTCTCCAGTGTCCTACACTGGTCCTGCTCCTCCGTTTGGTGCCCATAGTCAGAAGTGGTGGTCTCTCCCAACAGGAGAGCCAAGATAGGGGGCAGGTATCACCGTGCCAGGACAGGATGAGGGGCCTGGCCATGCCAGTGACTCATGGGTCCTTTCAGGCCCCACCATTGTGGGGGAGCCATGCTTGAGTCAAGAGACCGGGTTCTGGTTCTGACTTGGCTGTTATCTCTGCTCTCTTTTTTATCTTATTATTTTTAATGTTTTAGAGAGAGACAGACTGCAAGCAGGGGAGGGGCAGAGAGCGAGGGAGACACAGAATCCGAAGCAGGCTCCAGGCTCTGAGCTGTCTGCGCCGAGCCCGACGCGGGGCTCCAACCCACAAACCGTGAGATCGTGGCCCGAGCCGAAGTCAGATGCTTAAACGGACTGAACCACCCAGTGGCCCCTATTATCTCTGCTCTCTTGAGCAACTGGTTGCCCCCGGTGGGTCTCAGTTTTTGTACCTGGAAAACACAGAGCTAGTTGTGAGAAGTGGCCAATGAGATGATGACCACGGCACCAGTTTGGAAAGTAGACAGAGCGGGGCCAGCTGTGTTAACAACCCAGCTGCTCCAGAGGGAAAATCTACTGGAAGTCACAGCTCTTCAGTCCCCGAGACCTCAGGCCTACGGCTGCTCCTGTGCCGAACAGTGCAAGGGACAGTTAGCTTCCTTCTCTGGGGTCACCCCAGATTAAGTCAAAATAGCCTCCAGCATGCGTATTTGTGGAGCCTGGGGGTCCAGAAGACTCAGCCCAGGAATTGGTTCCCGGCCCATGGTGGCTGCCAGCCTTCCTGCTCCCCTCCCCAGGTCATTGCCTCTGACCCACGAGATCAGCCGCAGGGATTTTCCTCTGGCGGGTGGGTGGGGTGTGAGTGGACGGCTTTCCAGGCGGAAAGCGGAGGGTGGGAGTGAGGCCCGGGAGGCCGACCACTGCTCCCGTGTCGGAGCGTGCGCCCTGCTGATGGCGGGGCGTGGCGTCCTGATGGAATCATTTCAGAGATCATCACCAACATCAGTGAATGTTTGCTGAGTGCTCAGTTCTCTTCTTTAGAAACAGGCCCTACCCACCCCCTGGGCTGCCCTGAGGAAAGGACTGGAGCCAGCATCCTGTCCAGGAGTGACATTTCAGGTCAGACCAGGAGGGGCCCTCCCCAAGCCCACCCCTGGGTAATAACAGCGCTGTCTAATGGTATAAACACAGTCGGCTTTCCATAGGCCCCTGTAGACCATTTATCTCTTCAGGCTCGCCGGACAGGCTCGTTATCACCACTGTGCAGAGGAGGAAACAGGCCAAGAGGCAAAGGGACTTGCTTCAGGCCATGAAGGTAATTAGTGGCTTGAGCTGGCATGAGTCTGCATGCCAGACGTGTGTCTTTCCACTCTCCCACCTGCCCAACCCCCTACCCCTCCCCTCTGGCGACCATAGATTTGTTCTCTGTATTCGTAACTCTGATTCTACTTTTTGCTTCTTCATCTTTTCTTAGGTTCCACTTAACGAGTGAAATCATACGGTATTTGTCTTTCTTAGTCTGACTTATTTCACTTGGCATTATATCCCTTTAGGTCCATCCACGTTGTCACAAATGGCATGATGGGATCCTTTTCATGGCTGTGTAATATTCCGGGGTGTGTGTGTGTGTGTGTGTGTGTGTCTGTGTATGTGTATACACCACATTTTCTGTATCCATTTGTCTATTGATGGCCACGGTCTGCCCCCTTTACTCCTTCAATGCCTTGGGATGACTCCCGCTCTGGAGATGGGTGTTTGGGAACCCTCTGCCCTCTCCTGACACACATCTCAGCTTCGCAGAAGGCTTGCTTTAATTAGGCCAGGGCTCCTCTGAGCTCTGGGGTGCTCTGTGGCCAACACCTTAAAGGGGAGTCATCGTCACCGGGGGAGGGGGTTTATAATGAGGGATCCCTGGGACTCCAGAAAGGAGACTGAAGCGAAGAGAGAGCTATAGCAGGGGCGGAGGGCCTGTGTGGTGCCCCAAGGGCTCTGTACTTGCAGAATCAGAGTCCAGGATAGAATCTCGTAGCTCAGTTGAGCTAAGAGCCATTAGACTCTTAGGGATCCTTTAGACAGGACTCTTGGAGATGCCGATCAGGTTTTTGCTCACATGCTTCCCCGCAGGGGGAGATGGCTATCTCTAAAGGCCTCCCCGCAGTCGGTCTTATGATGTCCCTAAATGCCTCTCACTGGGGCCTAATTCTCCTCACGGATCCACACAAGGCTATCTAGTCTCTCTGCCAAGGGTGCTGAACTTCAGCACTCAGTGTCACCACTTACTCACAGCTGGACCCCTTTGTGCTTCAGTTTCCTCACCTGTGACATAGAAACAATAACAGTCCCTCCCTCCCGAAACCGTGAGGACCAAATAAGAGAATTGTCTGCCCAGCATGAACCATGGTGGCTGCCCCATAATAAGTGCTCAGTAAATGGCAGATATTTTCACCAGGACGTGGTTCTTTCTGGCATGACCAGAGACGTATCCACCCCTCTGTTCACCCCCTCTGTGATCTAGTTCAGCCCAGAACTGAGGGCATTACCCAGGCTTGACCCTCCTCTTCCCCTTGACTCAACACCTTCCTTGTTCTAGACATTATACTTCTGTGAATGCAACCCACGTTAGCGCTCCTTTTACTGGCCCTTCTGCCTTTTGAGACCACAGATGTGGTCTGAAACCATCAGGTCTTTCCATGTGAGCACCTACAGTGCTCCTCGCCCTCAACCGCCATCTCATATTAGAGTCTTTGGCTTGTTACTTCAAAGTCCAAACCGTCCATTCATTCAGGTGACATTTCTTGTTGGTAGTTGGGTCTGTCCTGGAGTTTAGAGAAACTAGTTCTTGCCATGAACATGGAAATGACAGGAGACCAGAGATGGGGACTGGGAGCGTCAGAAAGAAGGGTCTGGGAGGGGCTTCTCCATGGGCCATGGATCATGAGTTTTGCTGCGGCACTTGGGGCCCTCAGCCTAACTCTTCCAGAAGCTTCCCTGCCACTTGCCTCGTTCACTGGGTGAACCCCTCTCTTGGCCTCTCTGGGCCCAGTTTCTCCAGAGATGGATATTGCTAACCTACAGCCCTGTGGAGGCCTATGGAGAGGGGTTGGGGAGGTCAGGCGTGTGAGAGTATTGGCTCATGCTGCAGGTGGAGGTTGTCATTAGGCTCATTCTTTTTATTATTATTTTTTTTTTTTTGAAGGAGAGAGAGAGAGAGACAGAGCATGAGCAGGGGAGGGGCAGAGAGAGAGGGAGACACAGAATTGGAAACAGGCTCCAGGCTCTAAGCTGTCAACACAGAGCCCGACACGGGGCTCAAGCTCACAAACTGTGAGATCATGACCTGAGCCGAAGTCGGACACTTAACCAACTGAGCCACCCAGGCGCCCTTCATTAGGCTCATTCTTACGGGATCATTAACATAATGACAGTTAATGAGCAGTGTGGGTGTCCCTTAACCCCACTGGGGCCTACTGATTGATGGGGGTGTTTCCTCCCCCATCTCTTCTCCCTGTGGGCTGCCCCTTCAGCTAGGGAGGCATGGT